GCCAGGTTACGAAAGTTTCCACATACATACAGCTTACCAGACACATGTCCGCATAATCCCGACTCGAGCATGGCTGTTCGGAATCATCGGCGGACGGGCAAACAAACGACTGGACGATTGTCAAAGTGCGACGTTGGATCGAAGCGATGAAGTGCATCTGCATTTGAGCAAAAGTGGTCTGCGTGCTCCCAAGAAGTCTGACTCGGCAACGGAAGAGAGATAGACGGAGTGCATTATTTAGAAAGATCAGTTTACGGTATTACTCTTAGGATAAGTTCGATTATTCGTAAGAAAGGGCGAACAAAATGACCATGTTATCATTAGAAAAGTTATTACACACCACTAATCACGACGAGTGCGGACGTAGATGGTAAAGTGGCACAGGTCACCGTAGCATCGATCCGGAGGATACATTTTGAATATCGCAGCCACCGTCTAAATTCATCACGTACCTTATCAGAAGACGCAGCCACTATGTCTGAAATAAATCACACCATTTGCTAACCACAATTGAATAGAATATTATTACTACTTTCAGTATCACAAAGGTGATAGTATGCCCGGGGAAGAGCGAAGAAGTGCTTCATGAATCCACCATGAGTGCAAAACGTGTAAAAGACCAAGCGGACGGCACCGTCGAAAGCGTGACTGACTGACTGAGCAGAACAAGGCAGTTCAGAAATGGGGGGAAACTTGTCACAACATGGAGTATCCGGAAGTAGACTCACGTAGTTCACGTCCGGCATTTTAAACAATCTTGCTTCGTGCCTAAATGATCTTATTTATTATTTCTGCTTGGTAGGTAGCATACCCAAAATATTCCAAAGGAATACGAAAACCGCGATAGTATTTACGAACAGTATGCAACTCAGCTTAAAACATAAGCAATGTAGAAATCACTTGATCACGCCAGGCCAAAAACTAAAAACAACTGTAAAGCTAATCAATCATTTTGAGGTGAACATGGTTATTAGACAACATACACCATTTGTTCGTGACAATGACTAGACAGTTAGCTCAAATAACAACTCAAAAACACGTGGCTATGGCCGATCGTGTTCTGGCATTCTTCAACGGACATCATACGCCACGGACATGCACGAACATGCATAGCTGTTGATGAACTTGTGACAAACTCGCTTCAATCGATCGATATCGATCATTGACTGTGATCAGTTGAAGAAAAAAAAACATAAGAATCACTAAAGCAACTATGTCAGCGGCCGAAATGGTATACGGGTACGCTAATCAGTTGGTCGAAAATTTGCTATTCACATAGTAGGCCCAGTGCTCATTGCGCGTCATGGATTCAATCCATATTGACGAGACCTGTAAAATGACCTCAGGTACAGAGCTTTTATTCCATCGAACAACTTGGTTTCAAGTAGCTAACCATGATGACTAAATCGCTAAATGTACGAATACAAAGATCTAATGTAACAAGGCAAAGATGATACTCGTGCTGAGGTGGTATTCAAGGAATTGGTCAGCCTATACAGTTTTTCAGATAATGATTGACTGTCTAGGGGAGCAGTGCTCATCTGATAATCACGCTTGTGGACAGACATAACAACTATTTTTGGTTGAACAGCCGTATGAAAGTTCGGTTCTTGTAATCCTTACTATTCATGATTCTAAGCTGAGTGGAAATCAACAACAGCACTCCAGGGCGGAATCTCTCATGGAAAACTCCGTTATCTAATCAAATTTGGACTGTATTAAAAGAATAACGATACTCAGGTATTGATAAGTTGATCACCTTGTTTGGCCTATGTGAGCCTGCATTTAACACCAAGTAATCGTGCGAAGACAGATTCTACCGTGGAAGGAAGCCCTATTCCAAGTTTATTAACCCCCTAAATGCAACGATTGGAGTTAAAATTGTCAAAAGTTACAAAAATATTCACCCTGATGAAGCTAAATTTCGTGATCAGTTCAATCGAAAATCTTCATTTCCAACACTTTCTGTTTCAAATAGCATCTGGGAGAAACGAACGGGTGATATCTGTAGTGTCAATTTGTTGCAGATTCAAGATTGTGCAATGGCATAAGCGACGTGCCAGACTATGTGCCTGGGAGTAAAAAATCATTTTCGTCGAAATCTACGATGACGTCATAAGGATACTTGTTTGTTTGTTTGTCTTTTATTGCTACTTTGTCCTCGAGGCGGTCAACTTTCGACCATGACAAGCGGTTTTCGAATTCTCAAGGTGTGTGAAACCTTTACTATCCACGCNTATCCACGCAATACATGAAGCACAAATTGTGTGTGTTCAAGCAGCCTGAAAGGGCCGGGTTTAGTACAGCAACCGTATATCTATGTAGGCTGTTTTCTCTTTGTGTGTTAAAAGTACGATTTTTCTTTTAATTACACATATCTGCATGTGATGAACGGCAGACAGGGTGAACCCCATAGTCACGAGGACCTGCTGCTCCGTCACGGAAACCAGTAACCAAAGCCCCGGGACTTGGAGTGGCGAACTACCTAAGGCCCCTCTATATTAGGCGTAGTATTGAACCGGATGACAGCAGAGCTGCCTACCATCAAAGTTGGGCGGCGGTGGCGAGACTCGAACCTCGGACCATAGGGTCCAAAGCACGCTTGTGACAGCGACTAAACCACTGCGCCACTACCACCCAATCAAACTGCAATAAGTTATCATTTTTCCGGAAAATACGACAGATTTGGTAGGTTGTGAACGGAAACTGTCTTTCAGAATTCAATATCCAAGAATTTATTCATTCATTTATTAAGACGCGCGCTTATTTTCAATCATAGCTTTCTGGACGATGACATTGGTAGCTTTACTGTTGTATTTCATGTACGTCTTTTTGCCGAACAAATCACGGTACAATAGTCTTCAAAAAAAAATGTTCCATTGTTCGCTTGTCAACAGAATACGGCCAAGTTGCCAAGGCCAAGACAGGACAGCTTTATTAGTCAGGCTCGGCCCAGGGGATGCTGCGTGACACAATGGGTTGTTGAATTGGAACAGAATAATTTCGTAAAGACACTTGGATTGGCAAGAACAGATACATTGTCCAGTAGCACGAGTGAACTTTGAAGGAGCCGTGAAATTTCAGTAGCTGTTTTCGGCAAAATACAGAGTTCAGTGGTGGAGACGATTATTTTGCTTAGGAATAAATGGCAATCTACAATGCACATTTGATGATTTTAGTTTACAGTTGCCCCCTCCTCCTCATCAGTTTCACAGATCTCCAGCCACCAGCACAGCTACAGGTCACGTCTAATTTAAGGCATATTTCGAATGATGCAATAGTCCCAATGAAAACGACAACCGTTTCCCGATCCACAGTTCAACTTTCACGTTGCCCTCGGATTGATTGATTGATTACTGTACAACTTATACCAATTCCTCAGAAAAGCGCCATGTTTAACCGAGTCTGACTTCACGCCTGAGAACAATCGCAGCATCTAACCACAAGCCGGAATTCTCTACCACCACACGTTGTTTCTGCACCCACAATTGATTCATTCAAGTACAAACTGGATGAAGCTTTGACAAGTCTTAAATTTAAACTTCCGTAGTGTACGAAACAAGTACAAATTAGGACATTCATCTACTTTGTATGAACTGTGAATCGATTCATTTATGCTAAACCCTATGGGACTAGAAAAGCAACCGCTTGTAAGTATTTCCCATAATAAAACTTTGACTTTGTATTACAAAGTGAGGCAGATAAAAGCGGCAGGTTATACGCCGTTCGTGGTCGTTTCCGTGGTAGCGTCGGAGTTGAGGGATGTTGTGTGACTTGGCGGCACAAACCAGGGCAGAAAGCTGACTCGAAGCCNAGTTCAACCAATAAGACAACGGGGCTGGTGCTTTGAGTTCATAAAGTATTAGAAGGCCCGTGTTAAGCCTGCCGGACTACATACCCGGTGAAAGAGGTTCTCATGTCGGGACTAGGTCATATGCACCATTGTGGATGGCTTGAAATCTAGGATTTTCCCATTCACATGAATGCACTAGATGCCAGCGGCCCGTCAACTGGGTCCTAGCTCCGGAGAGCAACACCTAACGTTCTCACTGAAATGAAAACATCTCCGTGCGAAAAGGCTATAAATGGGGAATTCGAGGTCGTGATTGCAGGTTTTAGGGGAAATTTTTGAAGAGAGTATGGAACAATGAAAAACAGCTGAAAGACAAACCCAAAAACAAGCAAACTGAGAACTCTTTGTTAATCCATACCTAAACAGCTTCGCCTATTTTGTGCAGCATGTACACACAACCGCAGTCTTTTTCACGAACCATTTACATACAGACAAAAAGTAAGATGTACAAACACACACACACACACACACACACACACACACACATATATATATATATATATATATATAT